CTAACATATTTATTTATTAGAAAATACACTTTATGATTATTTTAATTATTTATGAATACTCCCAGTATCAACAGCGTTCTAAAAAGCCTCTGACCACCCACTTTATCGGGGGTTATCTTGAATATAAAAACCAAGTTGGCATTGGTTACAGGGTAATCATTATTCTATCAATGTCAACCAATCAACGCCACCTGCAGAAATATGTTGCAGATCCAGATATTTGCTGGATTTTTTCAAATGTTTCAAGGATTAATTTACTGCTCTTCTACTTTTTCTTTAACCTTTTTTTTCTAACTGAATGTGCACAATACAAAGGTGTTTTACAGTCAACAAGCCTCAAAAAGGCCGACATCAGACTGAAAAATCATAGGAAGCAGCAACTAGAAACACTGTCAATATAAACTTTGTCCGTGTCACCTGAGCGATGTCTCTCAGTGTCTCCAACAGAGTTTCAGTGTGAGTTCTCATCATCTGCATTTCAGTCTCTTCGTTACCGCTCTGCTCCTGCAGCAGAATGAAGAACAGGGAAATGAAGTGCATGCGTCAGTCAAATAAAGACAGTTAAAGCAGCTTCGCAGCCCACATGACCTCTGACCTCCAGTCTCCTCGTCAGCGCAGCGATCTCCGTTTCTCTCTCTTCCACTTGAGTGTTTAGTCTCTCCTGCTCTCGCATTGAATCTGACAACCTGGTGGACACAACAACACACCGGTCATTATCAGAATCAAGAAAACTACAAAGTAAATCAGTTAAGATTAAGTTTAAATACCAAAAACTGTACACCTTTATTTTTGATATTGACAGTTTGTATCTCCATAATTAACACTTCTAACACCAACACTGTTTTTATCTGCTGCTGTGAAGTCAAACACCTGAGCTGTAAATCACTCTCCATTGTTGCTATGGGAACAATATGGACAATGACACAATGAGTGGGGTTTTTCCACAGTGGCTGAGCTGACAACACACTGACCTGAGACTGAGCTCACTCCTCTCTGTGTCTGTTCTCATCTGAAGAGTCATCATCTCTGCCACTCGCTCCCTCAGCTGCTGCTCCAGCTGGACCCTCAGAGCTTTCTCTCGTTCCAGAGTCAGAACTGTTCCGCCCTCGCGGCCTTGGAGTGTGGCAGAGAGACCTGAGCAGGACACGTGAGCAGAGTGGGAAACCCGGGACAGCTCGTTACGCATTTCTGACAGGTCCCTGAGGTTTGGGAGAAAAAAAGAGTAAAACACAAAAAGTCAAGATGTAGAGTTTCTAGAATACAATAATGTACCATTTCAACAATCTAATTCAAACACCTTTCAGTGGCGTTCCTCACTTCACAGACATGTCTCCTAAATCCGACGACCTGCCGCCAGAGAATCAACAGCCGACTGTGCTCGCTGCTGAAATAACTGTTGAAAGACTGAAAAGAAAAAAAGAAATCAGTGAAGACTTTGAGCAAATGTGTCCTATAATCGAACCCCCAACCCTGGAGGAATATTACAGTACTGTAGACGGTATCCACGAGCTGAATTTTAAATTAATTTCAAATATATACTAGCAAAAATATTTGTAATATTTTTCAAATCGATTCAGTCCTCTCACCTCTTCTTCTCTCCTCCAGTCAGACTCCTTCTGGTCCAGCTCCTCTCTGGCTCTGGTCCAGTCAACAGTCAGCCGGCGGATGTCCTGGCTCAGAGCCTCATTGGCCAAACCTGCCTGCTCCAACTGTTCTCTCAGCATGGAGTTCACTGCAGACAGACTGCTGCTTCTAAAAACACACAACAACATATGACGCACAATGATGCTGCAGATGACAGAGTCATACAACCGATAGGCGGCTACTATTCCTGATCATATTTTTGTGCGCGCACATAATCCGTTTTACCTCTGTTGTTCCTCCTCCAGACGGATCAGGGCATCTTCTAAGCTGCTGCTTGATTCGTCCTGATGGCGACCATTTGATGTTTCACCAAAACCCTGAAATAAATGTTGTAACAACGTCCGTTTGAAGATAAAAGGGCTGCTGCGCAAATATGAATTTTAAAATCCACCTACGTTCGGCCTGTGTTTCTCCAACTCCGACGTCTTCTCCTGCAGCATCTGCTCCAGATCCCCGCACTTCTTTTTGTACTGAAGCACCTAAAGAAGCACAGTTACAAAAGTCTGTAACCTATACACAGGTATTTAAACATATACTTCGTCACATCTATTATCTCACCTTGGCCTGCAGCCTCTGCACCAGCTGCGCCTGCCTCTGCTGACCCTCCTGGTAGGCCGTGAGTTTCCTCTTGTAGGCGGCCTGCTCCTCCTCCAGTCGTCGGCGTAAATCCACATTCTGCTGAGCCAGGCTGCGTGATGAGTCCTGGTCGCCGTCAACTGTGTCAAAACGTAGCGTCTGCTCCAGCTGTGGGTGTTTAGACAATTCAGCAAATTCTACCAGTATGTATCACTGATATACTTTTAATGTATTTTTCAATATATTATTATAAAGTGAACTCTCCTGCATCAAGATCAGGAGCAAATCTTCTCTACAGAAAACACCATGTTGGACCAGAAAAATCATGCATATGTACAATTTAAACTTTTTTCTTTCATATACTTGGTGAATTTTAGTCAAGCTCTACTACGGATTAGTCTACAGTCCCTCACATCCATTTGACAACTGTGTCAGTCTGAGCTTTTAATCAGATACTTCACTGATAAATTAAAGGGCTGAACAGGTTAATTACAACAGCCATAATAATAACAACATTGAACAGTAACACTGCACCACCGCACATCATTTTTAATTCTAAACCATAGAACATTAGTACTGGAGGTAGGCGAGTTACATGCCGTGTGTTTACCAAAACTAACCTGCAATTCCAGCACCTTCTACCTTCAAGGCATAGAGTCTCTAAATGCTTGACATAGTCAAGGTGTGTTAATGCATAACAGGTGTGTTTTGTATTTTTTGTTTCGCAAATGGGCTCAAAAAAGTGAGATTAAAAAGTGGAGTTTTGTTCATGCACTGATTTAATCCTGAAAATGAATCTTGGTTTAATTAAATGGTCTGTTAGTTTTGGATGACAGGGAGATTTCTTTTTGGTAATGATCAATCTAAGATTCTGATAAGTAACCCACCCTCCACCTCCTCTCCTCCCCGTTAAAAACCCTGTTTACGGTCACCGGGGTAACAGGCACCATGGCAACAGTCCACTTCAGGTCATTCCAGCCCAATCACCTGGGAGACCAGCAGATCTCAGACAAAGAAATACCAGGACAACGAGACAAATTGTAAAAGTGCCACAGCAGTTACGTTAGGTATATACAAGGTGAAGGTTTTACTTCTTTTTTTTACTATTTAAACAAAGAATGCAAATGTTTTCTTGGCTCCTAGTTCCTATGTTTTGTAATAAACCAGTTGCTTTTAGTTCATTTTTGGAAAACATTTTTATGCAACTTTCAATCTCACCAATCAGATGAAGGGCAATAAAATACAAGTATCTTTACATGGGTTTATGTGAATGAAAGTTATTGTTTTTTCGGGTCTTGATTGTAACAGAGACAGCAGGAAATGTAAAATGTGTGTAGATAAAAAAAAATTATAGTCAAAAATAGACAGTGGAGGTAGATTATGTATGTCTGCCCATCCAGTCTTCTGTGAAACACTTGTGATAGAATTCCTTCAGCCTTACCCTCTCACTTATGGCACTGTACTTGATGGCCAGCTCATCGCGGTCTGCTCGGCTGTGTGCCAGCAGATCCTCCAACCTGGCCAGTTCTTCCTGCAGCACTCTGTTTTCCTCCTGCAGGGACATGACTGATGACATGGCACCTGCGCATGAGATGAAATAAAAACATCAGACATGAGAAGTCACTAAAAATGGTCAAATGGATGAATGGCTGTAATGAAGACTGGACTGTGAGGCCACTCACTCCCTTCGCTGAGGTTCTTGGTGACAATCTCTCGCACTCGTGCCGGCAGACATGTAGGAGAAGCATCAGGTGAAGGTCCTCTGACTGTCAGCCTCTTCTCCTCAGACAACACACTCTCCTCCAGCGTCTGTGTACGGAACACACGCACATTTAGTCTGTGATTATTTAGACGATACCACAGGAGACAAGACAGCAAAACTGATGGCACTGGGAACGCAACACTTTTCAACGCAACAACCTGAATTTTATTATGCATCATGAAGAGTGTCATTGTTATTTTTTACTGCGGTGACTTAAAAAATACTCACAAGCACAGCTACAGAGCAGTAATGGCAATGGAAACTCCACATGGGTTTTTTTGTGCAAAAGATTTTTCACATTTAGCCAATTTTACATGCAGCCAAAAAACATGTCTGTCCAACTTTGCACACATAATGAAAACTATTAGTAATGTATTTCTAAAGGCCAGTGTGATGTGCTCTTGAAATTATATTTAGGGTCTACTAAGAAGCAAGCGGTCTGGACAGATAGAGTAGTATAAGATGATGGATGGATAGACGAACAGGTCCATGATCTGTTTGCGATGACAGTGAACAGGTGGAGCAAGTAACATTAAGATGGACCGGAGCAGGTGGAGGAACAGCGGCTTCGCCTCACCTGTATCACTGACTCCAGTTTGTCGGAGTCCGGCTCAGAGTTTTCAGCAGCAGCGCTCATCGCGGTGGCAGCTAATGTTTTAAATCCCCAGAGGAAAGGACAGGAATTACCCCCGAGTAAAAAAAACAAGGTCTCCACTGAGGTCAATAACTGAATTATATTTCCTGAGAGCTTCTTATAAAAACAATGAGCTTTCTAGTCGTTTTCCAGGATTATTTACGTCTCTTATCGATAAAGTTTGGTGGCAGCGGAGGCGTATACAGTGTCCCGTCTCCTCCCCCTGCTCCTCTGGCACAGACAGGCACAGATTGAGGACAGAGGGATTAAAGCAGGTTTAACGACGCCTCCTCCTTCTCTTCCTCCACTAATGTCCCACGGAGACTGAAACCTGCAGCCTCTCACAAACCACTGCTACGTAAGTATTAACACCACGTTATGAACAGTCCCTCATTTTGTTCCTTCATTTTGATTGATTAGTTTGACTGTAATACGGGCTATTATTTTTTTTCCCGCCGTAACAATATCACTTTATTGTCCTATTAGCAAAAGTTGCTGCCCGTCCTAGGCTCAGAATTACAACAGACCCAAAAAGCTCTAGAACTACTTTCAAAATAATTTTTTATACATACTTTTATAATCGCAACCCTTCGTCCATACCTTAACTAGAAACCTATTCTACTACATACATACGTATATTTCTAAACACATTTGTAATCTGGAAAAGTAACAGGCATATAATTGGACGTCTATATTTTTTAACCGTAAATTGAATTAACAATGTAAAATTAAGAGGACCCGGAATTGATTGAGGATTAATGCCATGATTAATGCCATGAACTCTAAAAGTTACAAACATGTAATTGATGTTATAAACCAAGAAAGTTAGACTCAACAGAACCAACATGCCACCTCTCCAAGAAACAACTAATATTTATTCAACTGACGAGAGTTT